AATAATGTCTCCAATAGTAAAATTAAAACTATAAATGACAATACATTTTTTTCTTCTATTGATCTTCAATTAGATATTAATGCTATAGGTATTATAATTGTTGTTAATAATACAAAATATATAGATAATCCATCTACACCTAGATAAATATCAAAATAATTTATTTGATGGTGCTCTTGGACTTGTATAAACTGAAATTGTTTACTACTAAAATCAAATAATATAAATATAATTAAACAAACTATTAAATTAAGAATAGAGGTACTCAAACCTATTATTTTTATAATTTTATTCATTAAAGATGAGATATTATACGTTTTTAATATTAAAATTAAGAAGATTCCTATTAATGGTATTAATAATAAAGATATAAGAAATAACATTTTAAATAAATACTCTTAAAAAAACCTCTAAGTTATATAACTACAACTTTATGTAACACCCTGAACATCTCCAAGGCATAATCTAGTTATAAAGGGTTGGTACCTTGACTCGAACAAGAATATACTGTGCCACATACAGCCGTTCTACCTATTAAACTATACCTACCTTTATAATAATTATATTTTTTTTTGTAAAAAAAAAATATAAGATATCTTTTTTAGATATATTAGCCAGGAGAGAAATTCGAATTCTCATTCTTAATTCATGAAATTATTGTTCTACCTATTAAACTATCCTGGCAAATATACTATGTTGGAGCGATTCGAACACTCATTAGTAAATACCAAAAATTTATGACTTACCTTTTAGTCAACAACATATTAAGGTAGGCTTAATATACTAAATTTATATATATTTTTTTATTAAAAAAAAAAACATATTATATTTTGATTTTAATCTAAACTATATAATTATATTAACTTATATTATAAAGATATGTATTACCTAAATTTGCATATATTAAACTCATACCTTATAAAATAAAACAAAATAACAAAACCTAATAAAAATAAACTCATACCATATAAAATAAAACAAAATAACAAAACCTAATAAAAACAATAAAACTAAAATTGATCTTTTTGATATAATAGCTACAAAAGTAGTTACGATAGTTGGTATACCATCATAAACATCAGGAGATAAAAAACGAAAAGGAACTCCTGATATTTTAAATAAAAAACCTATTCATATAAGGTATATATGTAACTATATCTAACATATCATCACCATTTATTAAATTAGATATATTAGTTATTATATAAAAATTATCTAGATATGTAGTACCTGAATTTGCATATATTAAACTAATACCTAATAAAATAAAACAAGATGATAATCCACCTAATAAAAAATAAGTTAAACCTGAAGATGTTGATGATTCTGAATTTCTGTATATTGTACAAAGTAAATACAAACCATAACTTTGTAATTCTATGGATAAATATAATGATATTAATAATAGACTACCCATTATTATAAATAGTATAATTAAAGTATATTCAATTATACTATATTGTTCTATTTAGAATATGTAACACACTAGAAACTGAAGATATATTAAACAATCCACCAAAAAGCCCTATACTAAAGTCTAGGTTTGTTAGATATTAACTTTTTTTTAATTTTTCTAATCTTTTTATTCTATTTATTGTTGCTGAATGTGTTGGATCCAATTCATATTTGAAATTTGTAAATGTTAGTCTCATAAATCTAGGAGTTAAACAAAGATTATGTTTATCTATTTGTCTATTTCCAGCTCTTAATTTATATTTATTTGCTGTATTTAAACTATCTGTCGCCTGATGTAAATCTAGTAAAATTCTTTTTTCCTCACTATCATCCATCTTTCTTATTTTTCCTATATCAGTATTTTTATATTCTCATCTAAATCCCACTGATCCATCAGCTCTGAAGTCTCAAGAAAGCCTTGTTATATCAACATACTTATCTATAACAGGTTGTATTATTACTTGATTATTAAGCATATAATTTCTCATATCAAAAAAGATCATAGTATGTATAGCTATATAAAGGTTTATATCCTCTGAATTTAATGCCACATCTAAATTCTTTAGAGATGACTTAGAAGTATGCTTCATTACAGCTTTTTTGTCCATATCTAGAGCTTTCTCCTTTAACTTTTGATCAATTGGAGAAGAATAATTATTAGGTTCGTCTATTACTCCTTCTAGAGGTTTATTCCTTCTAGAATCACCTATTCCTCGTTGTGAGGTATTATTACTTCTAGTTCCGCCTAGACCTTGTTCTGTAGGTTTATCCTTTATATTACCCTCTATATCTCGTTTTGTGAAATTCTTCAATTTAGGACCGTCTATTCCTCCTTCTGTAGTATTCTTTATCTTAAATACTATATCAGAAACTATCTCAGACTTATCCATAAAAAATAGTGAAATTATCATACAGAATGTTCTTATTAATTTATAAATAATAGTACTAATTCTTTTTGATCATACATCAGATAAAGGATATTTAGATAACAAATATTTATTTATATTTTCTTCACCTAAATTAATTTGAGGTAATATTCGCGTAAAAACTTTTCTTAAAGAATATCTAATCATAAAATATATACTAGAAGTTATTATTTTTATTTTATGTAATATTATATCTTTTCAGATCTTTAATACATCTAATAAAATATATTTTCATAATACATCTATTAAAATATAGTATTTATATACAAATATAATGATTAATACAGCTAATAAGAAATAAATTAAAGAAATTAAACCTGAAGTTTTTAATCATTTTGAACTTTTGTTTAATGTTAATTTTATAAACAAAAGATAACTTAAACATTCTACAGTAAAAAATAAAAATAATTTAAACACAAAACCATGAACTGTAAAAGTATTGAGGAATGTTTTGAACTCCTCTGGATCACTATTGTGTAATGTAACATATATATGTAAATTATCATAACTCAAAAATAAACAAGAAATCAAAATAATTAAACCAATTCTAGAATTATATACAGAAATATCTCGCCTTAAACTAAGGGAATTAGATAATAATACTAATATAATAGATATTAAAAAAATAGATATAAAATATAGTTAATGTAAACTCGTAAACTCCAAAAATACCAAATAGACATAACAAAAGCTAAACCAAATAACGTGTTACTTCTATTTAAGTAACCACCTAACTTCCACCATAAACTAAAACTTATTAAATTATAATATATATATACATATATAATCGAATATATTTACAACAATAACCCATATTAGAAACCTGATCATGGTAAGATCACTAGCCTTCGGGTCTAAATTTAGATACTTTTCATTTTTTTTCAAAATTGGTTTATCTGGGCAAATTTGCTTGCATCTAAATTTAACTTGCTGAACCTATTGGGGTAGGTAGATCCTCTAGGATTTTCCCCCCCTGGGAACCGTACGTGCGATTTTCACCGCATACGGCTCGTACAATTAATCTTGCATACTTTTCTATCTCTTTCATTGGAGACTCGTTCTAGTATGTTTAGCTATTAAATAATAATAATTAAAGTTCAATAAGTCTGTTATTAAACATTCTTTAATATTTTTATTTAACATTGCAATAGTAATCATCTCCTTTACAATCATATCCTTCTGTTGAATTTATTCAATACTACTTTGTTTCCTTAATTATTGTTAGATAACTTTGAACTCGGGCTAGATAGGATATAATTAAGGCTATTTATACTATGTTAATCGCATTCTGTCTAAGTCTGCATCCTCTCGGATCAAATCATAAGATTCTATCACAACCATTACAGCCGCGCATTTGCTTTTTAGACTATCATCTACCCTAAATTTGATACAACAATTTAAGAATAAATTCCTATTTGTTGCCTCTCTCGTTGTCAACAAGTGAGAATTGAGGGCTTACCAAGTTCACACAAGACCACCTTTATCTATAATTTTAGATGCCTACTTTACTCCGTGTTATATTTGTTCCATTGTATTTACCAGCATAAGTAATAAATACCATAACATCCACCTTTTTACAGTGAACCTTTTACGGAGCCTCAACATAGATTCACAATATGTTCATCATGATTATAGTTCCCCTAGCACATCGATCTCTATATATAGAAATGGATATTCGTTACATTGTCATCATAGCTTCTAACCGGCTGATTAATCAATCCCGCTAGTATGATTAGGGGTAGATCAATGGAATGATCTAACAGAATTTAACTGTATTAGTCTTGTGCGCTTCTTGTCGCACTTATACTAAAGGTTTTTTTATATACTTCAATATTATATACTACTTATATTAAATTAGAATAATTTTAATTTTTTTTATAGTTATTTTTCCTAAAGATCTGATATCTATTTAATCCAACCAACCGCCTAAATTTTGATTATTACCAAAATAATATCTTACTTATATCAGGTTATTATGATTCGAACATAACAATTTCCCATCCCAAGTGAGACGCCTTACCGCCTGGCTCTAACCTGTATAAATATTTCAGAGAATATCCGATTCGAACGGATATGTTTGTATAAATATTATATCTATATATTATATAAACTTATATAAACTTATAGGTAACAAGACTCGAACTTGTAAAGTATAAAAACTATTCCATCCTAAGTGGAACCTGGCTACCAAATTTCAGCATACCCATTAGTTTAAACTGCTCGAAATAAGACTTGAACTTATAACCTAAACATCTTCAGTGTTCCGCTCTACCAGCTGAGCTTTCCAAGCAAGCTTTAAACTTGGAGCCATCAGGAATTGAACCTGAATTGAGGACGTGCAAAGTCCCAGTTTTACCAATTAGACTATAGCCCCACACACCACCCTAACTATCCAAAGGAAGGAATCCCTTGACCCTCGCCTTTTACTCCTAGGTAGCCGTCAAGTAATATAAATAAAAAAAAAAAAATATATACATAATAAATATACCTAATATAAAATTAGTCTTATATATTAATAAAAAAAAAATTAAAGATATGTTAGAGTATATAAAAAATATAAAGTACATAATTAATAAGTAATCTAGTATAAAAAAAATTTTTTTATTATAAAAAATTAAATATCCAAGGCACGACTCGAACGTACATGAAATCCATCACCTAATTTTAAGTTAGGTCTGTCTACCAATTCCAGCACTCGGATTAAATAAAAAAAAAAAATTAAGTACTTATAAGGCTAAAATGAGTCGAACATCCATAAAAGCTATCATGAGCAGCTTGCTTTACCATTAAGCTATAGCCTTAATAAATAAAAATGCAAGTTTAGGAGTTGCACCTAAATAATTGGAACATGAGCCCAATATGTTACTATTACATTAACTTGCTTAAAAGAGGTAAGAAATAGGTGATTTGAACACCTGACCTTTCGCGTGTAAAACGACAGCTCTACCACTGAGCTAATTTCTTTCAACCCAAGAGAGATTTGAACTCTCGCACTAACAGTGAAAATGTTATGTCTTAACCATACTTGACCATTGGGTCTTTTAAACTAACTTAAGCCCAGTGCAAGTATCGCACTTACTTAAACCGATTACAAAACGGTTGCATTACTTTTATGCTAACCAGGCGTTATGAGATAACATTAGTATACTAATAAATTAGTACTTTATATCTAAAAATCTATTATTATTCTTACAACTAAAGCCTATATAATATTATTATTTTTTTATTAATATTAATTAATAATAAAACTTCGTAGTGTTCTACTACGTTTATATAAGAGTATAGTATAGTAAGCTTCGCGCTTAAATGCATTCAGCACTTATCTCTAACTGACTTAGCTTTCCTGCCATGCTTAATAAACAAATGACTACTTAAGTGAAAGTAGCGTAAGATACGTAAATACTGTAGCATAACAACAAAATATTAACAATATCATATTTAAACAACAGGTAAACCATAGGTCAACATACCCAACTCCTTTCGTACGAAGGGGCTATCTATATTTTACTCTAATTACCTCTAGA